GATATTCCGTTTAGTGGCCCTAGGTGTGGACAGTAAAGTCCAGAGATATTCCGTTTACCCTAGGTATGGACAGGAAAGTCGAGATATATTGCGTTTAGAGGCCGTAGGTATGGACAGTAAAGTCCAGAGATATTCTGTTTAGGGGCCCTAGGTGTGGGCAGTACAGTCCAGAGATATGCCGTTTAGAGGCCCTAGGTGTGGACAGTAAAATCCAGAGATATTCCGTTTAGAGGCCCTAGGTGTGGGCAGTAAAGTCCAGAGATATTCCGTTTAGTGGCCCTAGGTGTGGACAGTAAAGTCCAGAGATATTCTGTTTAGAGGCTCTAGGTGTGGGCAGTAAAGTCCAGAGATATTCCTTTTAGAGGCCCTAGGTATGGACAGTAAAGTCCAGAGATATTCCGTTTACCCTAGGTATGGACAGGAAAGTCGAGATATATTGCGTTTAGAGGCCGTAGGTATGGACAGTAAAGTCCAGAGATATTCTGTTTAGGGGCCCTAGGTGTGGGCAGTAAAGTCCAGAGATATTCCGTTTAGGGGCCCTAGGTATGGACAGTAAAGTCCAGGGATATTCCGTTTAGAGGCCCTAGGTGTGGACAGGAAAGTCCAGAGATATTCCGTTTAGAGGCCCTTGGTGTGGACAGTAAAGTCCAGAGATATTCTGTTTAGGGGCCCTAGGTGTGGGCAGTACAGTCCAGAGATATGCCGTTTAGAGGCCCTAGGTGTGGACAGTAAAGGCCAGAGATATTCCGTTTAGAGGCCCTAGGTATGGACAGTAAAGTCCAGAGATATTCCGTTTAGTGGCCCTAGGTGTGGACAGTAAAGTCCAGAGATATTCCGTTTAGTGGCCCTAGGTGTGGACAGTAAAGTCCAGAGATATTCTGTTTAGGGGCCCTAGGTGTGGGCAGTACAGTCCAGAGATATGCCGTTTAGAGGCCCTAGGTGTGGACAGTAAAATCCAGAGATATTCCGTTTAGAGGCCCTGGGTGTGGACAGTAAAGTCCAGAGATATTCTGTTTAGGGGCCCTAGGTGTGGGCAGTAAAGTCCAGGGATATTCCGTTTAGGGGCCCTAGGTATGGACAGTAAAGTCCAGAGATATTCCGTTTACCCTAGGTATGGACAGGAAAGTCGAGATATATTGCGTTTAGAGGCCGTAGGTATGGACAGTAAAGTCCAGAGATATTCCGTTTACCCTAGGTATGGACAGGAAAGTCGAGATATATTGCGTTTAGAGGCCCTAGGTATGGACAGGAAAGTCCAGAGATATTCCGTTTAGAGGCCCTCGGTATGGACAGTAAAGTCCAGAGATATTCCGTTTAGAGGTCCTAGGTGTGGACAGTAAAATCCAGAGATATTCCGTTTAGAGGCCCTAGGTATGGAAAGCCGAGAGATATTCCGTTTAGAGGCCCTAGGTGTTGACAGTAAAGTCCAGAGATATTCCGTTTACCCTAGGTATGGACAGGAAAGTCGAGATATATTGCGTTTAGAGGCCCTAGGTATGGACAGTAAAGTCCAGAGATATTCTGTTTAGGGGCCCTAGGTGTGGGCAGTACAGTCCAGAGATATGCCGTTTAGAGGCCCTAGGTGTGGACAGTAAAGGCCAGAGATATTCCGTTTAGAGGCCCTAGGTATGGGCAGTAAAGTCCAGGGATATTCTGTTTAGAGGCCCTAGGTGTGGGCAGTAAAGTCCAGAGATATTCCGTTTAGAGGCCCTAGGTGTGGGCAGTATAGGCGTAGTACAAGGATTACTCAGCTCAGCGAAATGTCAGCAGGATGTCCTGTTCCTCTGTGTCAACAAAAGTTGATATTTCTGTGTTCTCATTTTATTTGCTATCAATTAGACTTGCCCCCATCTTTAGAATATTGAATTATTTAAAAGAAATAATAAACTCTAATAATTTTGATTACTTGGATGTGTGATTCTCTAACTAAGGGAGATAAGCTAGTAGTATAATGCAGCTAGGAAATTCTTCATAAAAACTGTCAAGCTATCAATTGATTTTATTATTCAGAGACATTAAGACGGTGACCATTTTTCACCAATATTTCTGAAAAGAAAAACATGGCGGATGGGATTATTGAAAGCTTTGTCCGTCATGTTTGTTGATCATTTTGTCCTGACATTAACAGATATGATTTAATTTGCTAAGTTAACACGACCAGTTATGGACTTTATTAAAATTTGCTAACACGACCAGTTATGGACTTTATTAAAATTTGCTAACACAACCAGATTTTGACTTTATTAAAATTTGCTAACATGACCAGATTTTGACTGGTACAAACTTTCAAACACAACCAGAAATCTAACTCAAAGAAATTTGCTAACTTCAGTTAGGTTATTGCAATAAAATATGCACTTTGTTTCCTACCTATATACATTCTAATTGCTCTTGCCTTGCTTGACAATTTATTCGTAAACCAGTTTGAGGAACTATATGGTGAGCACATTCGTAACAATGCTTTTTGTTTTATTTGCAGGTAAGTGATGTTGGTGTTATATTGAGGTGAGAGGTGTACATGAGTAGGTGTTCTTGGTGACCCTAACTGTCACGTTCGTTACAGGTAAGTGAGTGACAGGTGTTACAGGTAAGTGAGTGACAGGTGTGTGTCCCCGTGCACAGTTCTGATGGGAAACAACTGTCTGGATATTCCTGGGTGTGTTCATGTCAACATGACAGCTTTATGTGAACCTTTTTATTTCAGATTACGTAAACTTTAAAGGATTAAAACTTGGGTCATGTTATAAGCATTATGTTGAAACTGAGATTGCCTGTAATGTCATGAAGACTGATGCATATACGAGTTGCCATGACGAAATATATTGTAAGCATATGCGTATATTTCAACGTTTTGGAATGGATCCAAGGCTTAAAACCTAGTATATACCCAATGTGCCTTTTCTGTATTTAGGGCATATTTATTACCCACCTAAACAGATAAAAAGGTATTGTCAATAATGAACTATGGGTATTTTGTTTAGATGGATCAGCCTCTGAGACAGCTAGTCTGACTACTGCACCAGGGGTTTGTCTGATATAGAGTTACCGTGCAGCCATTACCAACTTTCACTTCCTGTGTTGTTTTACAGATTAATTTGGCCAAATTTGCTCCGGTATTATATTGGTTCCCCTGATAGGTATGGCCTGCTTGTAACGGTATGCAAAGCTGCAGCATGTCATCTTTACAGGCAGATCAAAGAGCGCAGGCTAGTGCATTGATGTGCACAGGGAATCCGCCCCCCTATGGGAGCTATTTATCCAATGCTTTTGATCGAGGTCAGAGGTCACTTTCGTCCTCAATATGGAGGATACATTTGGTACAGTGTTAATCTAAGTTGTAGGTGTTGTGATCGGATCCAGTCTGCACATGGTAAAATAATTAAGCATGAAAGGAGGAGAGTTTCATAATTTTCACACTGCCTTTAATTTTCATAATTTGGTGTCACCGTTTTTTGGAATTCCTATTCCAGTGTTGGATGATTGGTATTGCCCCTGTTGGTGCTATCAGAGGATACATTAGGTTTGATTTCTGTCTAGAAGTCAGTGTGTCACTTAGTCCTGGGCTGATCATGATCGATTATAATCGAAAATTGATCAGTTTGCCCTTTCTGATTCCAATTCTATTATTGATATAATCAGTTCTTTATCAAAATCAAAGTGTTAAATGTTTTCAATGTAGAAATTCATTGAGAGTCGTATATATCTTATGATTACTGTATGATTGATAAAACTGCACAAAAATTGCTTGAAATCCATTCCTTGTAAAAGAACGAAACCTAGTGTATAATTAACAGCTCTATTGATGTAATAATAGTGTTCTCATTTTGTTTGGTTATTTAGTTCCGTAAAATTATGAATCGATTATGCAATAGATCTTTGATCAGTTCACTACTTTCGATTACAAACCGATTATTGATTATGATTTAAACCAATTGCCCGTCACTTTGTCCTGATAATTTCTCTAAAACTCTTGCCTCTGACAATGGCCAAATTATGTTTATGAATTCCTTACAGGATGTCATAGTGTTGCATACCAAAAACAGGTCTTTTGCCCCGCTTTATATAGAGTTATTGCCCTTTGTTCATTTTTGATTGCTGACTTTGTCAGGCGGTGGGGGGCTGTGGATTGCTTGCAACACTTGGCCTTGTTCAGGTTATTGCCAACACACACCTTGATTGACCATACATATCTGACATTCCTGGGGATGAATGTTTTCTGATCTCTTGTGTGACTGTCTTTAAAGACAGCTGACAGCCTTTCATTAGAGGGTCAATTATCTTACTTGCTGATGACAAGGCTATGCTTAGTATTAAGCCAAGTGCGTTGTTAGATTCCTTCTACAAACACTTTTGTTGGCATTTCTTCCTAAGAGAAATATATTTTGGTGGGCTTATTATCAAGCATGGGCCTGTTGCCGGATTAATACGGTAATATGAAATGGTCAAATCCATGTATCTGGTTAAGAAAAAAATGTTTTGTGTATATCTGGTTTATCCATAAGTGCTGGATGAATTATACTTTCATTAATGATGCCGTAAGACAGCTCTACTGATTACATGGTATGATGTTACGGATGCTGAATTTGACCTAAATGTTTTGCTTCATTGCACTCTGTACCATTTACATGTACATTGGAACTGTGTATCTCATTACGACTTGTCTATTGAGTGATGGACATTGATGATAGTCTTCTTGTACTTTTGAGGGTGTGCAGGCACCATATGACTTAAGGGTCCCCGTACCAGTACAAAAAAAAGTATAACTAAGTATCAGATGAAGATGAAACGAACAAATCACAGTGTTTCGAACCCTGGACTTCAGATTGTTAAACTGTCGCTCCTACCGATTGAGTTATCTGGTCTACGAAATTAACCTGGCTGTACTGTGCTACAGTTTTATCCAAACGGAAGTTAAGGGGAGGTCACTGTATATGGGAAAATAATACAGCGCAGTGGTACAGGGATCCTTAAATAAAACACAGACGAGCTGAAAAGTGTCCACAATGTTTAATATTACATATCACGAGGACATATCACATGATGATGCTATTACTTCATACTACAATTACAGCATCTGTGTCCCTACACATCTGTGTCCCTACACAAGTTATAGCACAACACATACTCACAAGATTTGTTCCCTTAGCTCATTCACCCGTGAAATTTCATAATGAACTATTCCAACCTTTGAATTGGAAGAGTTCGTATGTGTTTTCAGGGGTGAATGAGTTAAAAGAGTTTTTGTGACCAGCTGTAAGTTGAGGTTTTACCGTGATATTCCCCTCCAAAGTTTACTCATGCATAATCAATCATCTCAGCTGTGGTATAATTTAGTTATTGGAGAACATGTTGAAGAAAGATTGAGAGAAAGGTAGGTTTTTTTTCTCTCCTGGCCGTCCTCACTTCCACTGGTTGAGTGCCAGATCTCTGTTTAATATGGGTGTACCCCAATAACTCAATCTAAAGCATTTAGCTTCAATCTGGGACTTATTTTCTCAGATATCCAAATTGACAAAAGTTCCAAATTGAATAAAATGCATTAAAAATCCATTTTTAGTGAGCAATGGTGGCTGAGCTGTGCCAATCTCCTGTATGTGTTCTACCGCGACATGCATCGAAATCAAAGCCGATTTGGTGCGCAAATCAAACAAAATGCTCACCTCCCGGAGACTGTAAGTGATATGAACTCCTGGGATTCATATACAACCAAGGCGATCACTCATTATCCCTTCCAAGGTTACATGCTAATCAAAATTGTTGTTTTCTTTAATGATATAGATTTTATAATGCAAAGTTTATGGTAGTCAACCCTTTTAATTATGAACTAATAATTGCTTACTTATATTTCAATCATGTTTTGTTATTAACTTTCACTAGGTTATCTTTGTTTTTATAAGGAGGGAGTTCCGAGGTAATTTCAGTGGTATATTTGGAAGTTTGAACTCCCGTATGGAGGACTTTATAGATTTATATACAATCAAGTTTTAATGCGAAATTATTGCCGCGGGAATTTAGCAGAGCAGGAAAGAAGATGACTTTTAATCTGGAATTGGTTGTGCTACGTTTGGGTAATCTGTTGCCATGTCAACTGATTTATCTTAATAATTCTCAAGTTGTGTAACTTATAGAACTCAGGTTGATAGAAAGAAGCCTGCTGGTCTATGATAACAGTTCACTGGTGATAGAAGGAAGGGCTCCACTGATAGGGAGGGTGTTCTGTGGAGTCATTGACAACCACTGTCTAGTTATAGAGAGCACCAGTGAGGGGAGGGTGTTCCCTGGATAGAGGGCACCACTGATGGGGAGATTGTTGTGTAGAGTCAGTGGCCACCACTGTCTAGTGATAGAGGACACCACTGATGGGGAGGTTGTTCTGTAGAGTCAGTAGCCACCACTGTCTAGTGATAGAGGGCGCCACTGATGGGAAGAATGTTCTGTAGAGTCAGTGGCCACCACTGTCTAGTGATAGAGGACGCCACTGATGGGGAGAATGTTCTGTGGAGTCAGTAACCACCACTGTCTAGTGATAGAGGGTGCCACTGATGGGGAGGTTGTTCTGTGGAGTCAGTGGCCACCACTGTTTAGTGATAGAGGGGGCCACTGATGGGGAGAATGTTCTGTGGAGTCAGTGTCCACCACTGTCTAGTGATAGAGGGCGCCACTGATGGGAAGAATGTTCTGTAGAGTCAGTGGCCACCACTGTCTAGTGATAGAGGGCGCCACTGATGGGGAGATTGTTCTGTGGAGTCAGTGGCCACCACTGTTTAGTGATAGAGGGTGCCACTGATGGGGAGAATGTTCTGTGGAGTCAGTGGCCACCACTGTTTAGTGGTAGAGGGTGCCACTGATGGGGAGAATGTTCTGTGGAGTCAGTGGCCACCACTGTCTAGTGATAGAGGGCGCCACTGATGGAGATGGACTGTTCTGTGGAATCATTGTACAGTTAATCAAATTTTGTAGAGATATTATACTGAAACTTTACCATTTGTAAATATATTTCTCGTCTGTTCAAAAATGGTTGTGAAATCTGTTTAAATATTTTGTGTTTACCCTTAAAATCTGTATTTCGAAATGAAATTTCTGATTAAGGAATGGATGATTTATTATGCATGTTTCATTATAATTACAAATTCTTTGAAAAATCCAAAAACACCACAGTTTGGAAAGTGTGGAGAATATATTCTCCTTGAACTTAAGCTTTCTATGACACAGTTCAGAGTAATACGCTTTCTTAGACTCCTACTTTATAACATACAATTATTTGTGGTGTACATACATTCTTGGTTTAAGTGGTTCCCATTTGAACCACGAAAATAAATACAACTAATTTAATTGATAAACTTGTCTACTGTTTGTTAATATAGGATATCCACTGAAATGTGTACCACAAGACAGTCTAAATAGCTTCTAACCAGGAATGAAAGTACCCACGAACATTTCATGTTATATAGTACCTGATGTGAGAAATGGAAGGAAAGTGACTACAGTCATTACTTCAACGAAGCGAACTACATTTACTGCTTTATTTGTGAGCTGTAGACATAGACATAAAGTTGAGAGAAAAGTGGAGGAGGAAACCTGTATTCTAACTCTTTATGAAAACATACAGACTTTTGAAGTCAGTTTCTATAAGTGCACAAAGTGTTGTTCAACCTGCTTCATTGCATAACTTATCATGTTCACAGCGAAGTGAAAGTTTACGTATACCTTTGTAATTCCACCAGGCTCATCTTCAGTCATTGAAGTCTTTTTATAATGCAATTGATGAAATCTCAAAATATACGGACCATTTGAATATCCATGGTAATGTTTATAAACATCATATGATTTATGACATCACTAGCAGGGTGTGTCTAAACTGTTCGAACTTGAAGCATTAACATGATAAGAATTTCCATTGCTAAGCAACCAGCTCCGAACCCGTTTGCCACGTTGTAATGTGTCGTAACGACACATGATGAGTTTTTTGAAGGTCATTTTGAAGGTCTTGTTGAACATGGTGTAGATGATGGGATTGAGCGTGCTGGACACCCAGCCCAGCCACACGGAACCTGCTATTAGGTTGTTGTCGAAGTCACATGAGGTACACAACACAGTGAGGATGTTAACAATGAAGAAAGGGGCCCAGCACACCACAAATAGAATAAACACAACTCCTATGACCTTTGAGGCCTTCTTCTCGGTGTGTACATCATTTTCCTTCTGCATGGCTTCCTTTTTCATCAGCAGTATACTGGCTGCCTTGATCACTAACTGGTGCTTTTTCACGAGTCCCTGAAGTGACGAGGTACCTGCAGAAGCGGCAGTGTGTGTCCACAGGGGAGAGGGACTGCCACCATTAGACCCAGGGTTAGGGGAACTGTCCCTCGACCACAAGGTGCTACTAGGACTATTTCCATTGGATGGTGGAACTTCCTCTGTCCTCAAGTGAGTCACTTTCCGTCTCTCCCCACGCCCATCTCCCCGTCCCTCCCCCCGTCCCTCCCCCCGACGACCTCCCCCTGAGTGGCTACTGGAATTTTGATTGTGCCGACGATGATGGCTATGTATTGGGAATGAAATGCTTGACTTAATAAGAGGTTTGCGCTGTATGATGGGTGTTGTATCCTGACTACACTCTTGGTCCTCTACCGGACAGCTTCGTGTCCGTCGTGCCGAAAACTTCACCCGAGGACGCTGTTTGTTTGGCTTGCGACTGAGTGACCGACGTATCATTGGTTGGCCCTCCACCCGTCCGGACTTACACTTGTTACACTGACCGATGAGGAGATATAGTGTAAAGCTATATGAAATTACCATTATGGTCAGCGGGATGAAGAAAGCACAGATGGACCCATAAATGATAAAATTCTGATTGGTCAATACACATTGGCTGTCATTCAGCACATTGGACTGTTCTATAAATCCTAGAATTGTGATTGGACTACAGATTGCCAGGGCAATGACCCACACCAGAATAATTTTCAAGATTACCACAGATTTTGATTTGTTTCGCGTTGCTAATGGATATCGTATGGCCATATACCTTTCCAATGAAATCGTACACAGATGAAGAATTGATGAAGTACTCATGAGAACATCCGCAGTCACATACAGATCACAGATGATTGGTCCAAACAGCCAGTAACCTACCAATAGAAAAAAAATTGACATCATGATATGATTCAGTGAAAGTTTTTGGATTTAGCCAATAGATTACTGGCATGTATTCAAAGGTTCAAACAGAAACTTAATAATGTAATTAAAATAGATATTTTTACGATTTAGAATTTTTCTCAATAACTGAAATTCTGAAATATATTTTGATGATATCTCACACAACATATATATGATACAATTTATTACGTAGATATAAACAACTGGCGCACTGATAAGAGCGTAAAAGTATGAAGATAAAGTTAAAATAAAATATAGCCGTAGTGATGAAAAAGACAAACTTGGTTGGAATTCATATTTTATTGTGTAGAACGTAAGATAAGCTGTAAATACATTGTTCTTTCCGCCAATCAATCCACATGACAAATGGAAATAGTTTACGTAATGTCATTAGGTCTGCGATAACTCAATCAGACAATAAAGTAGAGAGTCAGGCAGGGGAGGTAATCATTGGTTAACATCGTAATAGCAGAGACCCAAAACTGTCCTTCAGGACTCTATGTGGGGTGTGTAATCTCTCAGGGGAAAACGGAAACAGATTTAATGTAAAATAGGGTACACCAATAAAAGTGATTGATATGGGGATGTTTCGTCATATTTAAGTTGCTATTATTGTTTCTAAATCTGACTCCCTCGATCATCAGTGTATATTGAAGGGTTCGAGGAATTATACTTCGGTGGCTGCATGCAAGCAAGTGCTGTTTTATAACAATGTCAGGCTTAATAGATGAAAATCATTGATGATAAATCTATTTAGCCGTTTCACCCCTATGCAACTTCAGTAGACTCTACCAGCATTGATCTGGATTAGTCCAATATGGTATACAGTGGTTAAAGGGTTAAACAAGAAAACCAAACCTTTCTAAGAATAAAATACATGCACAATATACATAATACAAATTTAAATTATAAATTGTTAATTGATACCTATATAAACAATAATTAAATGAATTGAATATTTGGGCTAAAATACCAGACTTAATGATTTAAAAATATAATTTACAGTTTCGCCACTTAGTTATACAGGGATAGTTATTGAAAATAGGAAATGAAACACAGTCATATGTAAGTCAATGATTTACAATCGATCCAGATAATCACAGAATCGTGATGTGTATGGATATATTAACAAAGTATGTTTTAGATCTGTAGTCAGTGAATACGAGAGTTGAGAGATGTATATATATTTACGTTGAAATAGGTATTATTATGTTTTGTTAGGAGAGGTGCTAGCAGATATGATGGAGATATAGGTAAACATTTCTTCCTACCAAGTGGCAGGGTTATCAGCCTGCAGCTACAGAATACATATCTATTCCCACAGATAGCTTATCCTAACAGAGTCTGATCAGCTAGATACAGGCATGAGGCCTTTCTCCTGTTAGACCAGATAGTACTGGCTGGCCGATACTATAGGTAGAGAGCTGAGGCCTGGGATATGGGCCAGGAGTATATTCCAGTGGGAATATCTGCTAATATTCTCGTTCTGCATGGAAGCCATGCTAATGTTTTATGAGGTGTCCATGATGTCTTATACAACCATGTACCATTTTTAATTTCCTTTACAAACTACTTCAAACGCCGGCCGTAGGAATACGGTTTGCTTGTGAACACCACCCCCAAGACATCACTGATGGCCCGCTTACTGTCTACAAATATTTTGACATGCCTTTAAGGTTTGTGAACAGATGAGCTACACTAGGCTTGTGAGTCCATCTCCTCAAGTGTTCGGGATGATTTACATTTTATGAGAAGGATTCTGAGTAAAGTATAAACAGAGTAAAAGGGTGGTGTTTTTTAACGAGGACGAGGAGGTTCCGCATCAAAGATGGATCCCTGGATGTGGTCCGGGTGCCACATAGCAGGGTTCTTTGTATATTGATAACCCATATGTAGACTCTCTTCTGAGACAATGTGGTACTTACGATATTACCTGCAGCAGTATTTTAATTATGATGTGACTACAAGCTTACACATTAAGTACACATCACATTATGTTTTACCTCATCATTTTCTCAAGTAGGAGGCCCACATACATACCCTCCCC